CGGCAAACAGGACGTCATTTACCGGCATAGGGTATATGAGATACTGAACTCCGAAGAGAGAGTCTTGAATCTATGGTTCACAGTGGAACTACTGATCGATTTGATTAGAAAGAACGACGAGAACTGCAAAGATATTTTGGATAATGAAAAGATTAAGGACAAGAAATCCGGATGGAAGTTTGTTGATTGAGATACCTAGTGTTAAAATTTGTATATAAAAAAAATCGTTAATACATAAAGTAACTGACTATGCCAATATTTGTGCCTTTTATTATTGCTATTTGTAGTGTCCGAATCTATCATGTGCGAGTATAAAGGCGACGAAGCAAGTGATGCTTCAGTTCTGAGATGATTAATGCTTTCACTATAATTGAGAAATAGTTAAAATCTATTTATTATAAATGTTGCAGAAAGTCACTATTAAAATAAAAATAATTATCTTTGAATGATAGTAGTAGTATTTCAAAGAATATGATCATAGAAGAAGCATTACATTACATTATATATATTTATTTTAAGGTGTAATTTCGTAGGTAAAACTTTAAATATACTTTTTTACTGGTGGTAGGACCTCTTGTGAGTCCGCACGGGTAGGTACCACCGCCCCGCCTATTTCTGCCGTGAAGCAGTAANAAATAAAAATAATTATCTTTGAATGATAGTAGTAGTATTTCAAAGAATATGATCATAGAAGAAGCATTACATTACATTATATATATTTATTTTAAGGTGTAATTTCGTAGGTAAAACTTTAAATATACTTTTTTACTGGTGGTAGGACCTCTTGTGAGTCCGCACGGGTAGGTACCACCGCCCCGCCTATTTCTGCCGTGAAGCAGTAATGCGTTTCGGTTTGAAGGGTGGGGCAGCCGTTGTAACTATATTGAGACCTTAGAACTTATATCTCAAGGTGTGTGGCGCATTTACGTTGTAGATGTCTATGGGTTCCAGTAACCACTTAACACCAGGTGGGCTGTGAGCTCGTCCACACATCTAGGCCATAAAATATATATATAATATAAGCGATCATTTAATCGCTGTTTTTTACAAATGCATTTTAAAGAACTATATAATTTCTTATAATTCGATCTGATTTAAATGAAAATATTGGCTAAGTTAATGTTAACGATATCGATAAATAATAAAGCTATATTTATGCAAACTTCAATTGTGAGGTTGATGGATTCTTGAAAATTAATTTTGAATTGTGAATTACTTCAAAGATTGACGTCACTAAGACATACGGTTAAAGTGGGTCAATAAGAGGGCAAATTATACATAATAAGTGCATAGTACATAATTCATCAATAGTTTTATCAAGGTTTTTTACTTGAAAAAAAATATAACATATTCACAAAATGGCTGTTAAAATTCTTTGATTATTTTTCTATTTTATTTTATTTATTGGGCACCAATATGTTATACATCAGCACAGAACATTACAGGTATCATATACATTGATTTCACACTAAATGCTAACACAATTACAGGTTCTGACTGCATGCATAAAAAAAGCGGTTCATTATGTAAAAAAAAACAAAAAAAAGCATTATTTAATGATCCACTATGATCGGCATATCTCGTTTCAAACTATTTACAATTCTAATGAAGCGAGTAATATTATCGTTTGTTATTAAGAATGCTCAATAAAAATGTTAATTAATAAAATTAATTGGTATTGTTAAAACATTTCATTATTTATCAATGAACATATATTTGAACACCATTATACTTTGTAAGTATCGAAACTACGGCCGTAATTCGTACTAGTTTTTACAAAGCTCAGATCACATGGTATTAAGTGGAAATCGGAGCCCAGCACAATGCAAATACATATAGCTTTCACGATTCTACGAACCATTTTCATAATGAAACAAATTAAAAGTTAAACATATATTAAGTCATTTTTTTAATAATTAGCAGTTGTAAGACGAACTGTGAGCTCATGTGTCGGTCCATATATATATGTGCCATCATCTAGAACATTTTTTCCATCAAGTAATTTTAAGGGTAAAACAATTGCTATGCAATACATTTGAGATTTGGACTTTACGCGTTAAAGTAGAAGGTGGTATTCACTTTGTAGTTTCTACGATATTCAGTGACTTCTTAATTCTAGGTTGGCCGAAACATAATTAACCAATCTACAGGAAAAAAAAATATTTTCACCATTTTTTTCCTTTTGTTTCCGGGGAGTTATACATTTTAACTGCTTCAAATTCGATTTTCCATTTTCTTAACAGACCTGCCTTTTCATCACGCAATTTCTCCATTCACCAATGAAGCCTTCAACGTGCTTTACGGAAAGTACAGCTTCAACGACTTGTTCCTGCCACTCGAGAATGAGACGAGCATAGAAGAAGATGTCGATATGGGCCCACCTCCGCCGCCATCGCCGATGCACTACGAGATTAGTTTTAAATCCCCAACCCACCCAGACCTGATCGAGTTCAACAAAATTTCCGAGCAGGTAGACAATTTGACCAGACGAGGCTCATCTGACACGTTTCACGGCTTCGACGACCCTGAAGACTGGTGGTACGGCAACAAGGAACGAATCGAACCAAAGAAAAAGAACATGCTGATAAAAATCAATCTCCAATTTTTGATCCACACGAGATACAAAGTGTACGCTGCTCTGGCGCAACGCGAGCTCTACCGTCAGGATAAAAGATACAAAATGGGATATCTGTTCAACAGATTGAGGCGTTTGAAGACAGAAATGAGGAAGGTTGTAAGTTTGGCGACACTACAGAACTCCACGAATCCCTGGTACAGGAGCTTGCACTCGCTCCTTAGATATTACGAGCAGGTCGTCAGGTATGATGTGGACATAAGGGACACTTCAAACATGGTTCAAGAACTGTACAACAAAGAAGATCCTGCTGACTACTATAGAGTTACGTTTAGTCCTCCGCAGCAACCTTAATAGATAACCGATTTTTTATTTTATATATTATAACATAACTATCCTAACTATCTTCTAAGCTATTTATTTATCCTAATTTTGCGGTTTTTTTTTGCTTAGGTGGGTGGACTAGCTCACAGCTCATCTGGTGNCATGGTTCAAGAACTGTACAACAAAGAAGATCCTGCTGACTACTATAGAGTTACGTTTAGTCCTCCGCAGCAACCTTAATAGATAACCGATTTTTTATTTTATATATTATAACATAACTATCCTAACTATCTTCTAAGCTATTTATTTATCCTAATTTTGCGGTTTTTTTTTGCTTAGGTGGGTGGACTAGCTCACAGCCCATCTGGTGTTAAGTGGTTACTGGAGCCCATAGACATCTACAACGTAAATACCGCCACCCACCTTGAGATAACTGTTCTAAGGTCTCAAGCATAGTTGCAACGGGTGCCCCACCCTTCAAATCGAAACGCATTATTGCTTCACGACAGAAATAGGCCGGGTGGTGGTACCTACCCGTGCGGACTCACAAGAGGTCCTACCACCAGTAATTATGCAAATTATAATTTTGCGGGCTTGGTTTTTATTACACGACCGATCCTTCACCGTGGAAGTCAATCGTGAACATTTGTTAAGTACGTATTTCATTAGCAAAATTGGCACCCGCCAGCGGGATTCGAACACCGGTGCATCGCTAGATACTTTAGGCCACGACGAAATCACTAAAAGCGACGAGTGCGTGCTTGATTAAATATTTGATTTATTTAACTTCGTATTATATATTTAATTCGTTTATTATATTTCACCTCAACGGTCCAGTGATTGTTGGCCTATGGCTATTATAGTATCAGGACCTTCGAATTCGGTTGTAGACAGGAGTTATTTTAATTGCTGAAGATTTTCCCAATCGGGTTTTTAGGTTTGCTTGTTCTGGCCAGTATTTGTGTTTATTGTAACGGAATTGTTTTATTTTATTTTAGAACATAGGACATATCGAGCACTTCTGTTTGTTTTGATTCAGTGAATGTGCCGTATAACATAACGTCGTAATTAGATGAAGCTTGCGATCTCACAGTGTCCTTAATCGTTGTATCGAAATGTAAAATCACTACATAGTATAAAACAAAGTCGCTTTCTCTGTCCCTATATCTGTCTGTCCCTATGTATGCTTAATCTTTAAAACTAACCCAACGGATTTTAATGCGGTTTTTTTTAATAGATAGAGTGATTGAAGAGGAAGGTTTGTATGTAAAATAACATCCATTAAATAGTGGAGAAATCAATAATAAATTACAGTTTCCGAAGCGAAGCGAGGGCGGGTCGCTAGTAATTATATAAAAACCCAGCTTAAAGAAAATGAAACTCTGAAGGTAGTAAGATTGGTAAATTCTACGGGAGTGATGTACAATAGGTTGATTGAGGGATATAAATATAAAGAAAAACTTTTATTATCTAAAACTCCTTAGTTTTCTAAAAAGGATTTTTCTTGAATGTCATTGAGTGAAGTCTATCATGGTATGTTTATCAGTCTATCATTAAAATATAATATTAATTTTATTAGATTAAGGGCTTTAAATGTTGTTTTTTTATTAAAATTTGGTACTTCAGAATTAAAATTACAATAAAAGGCTTAATTGTTATTCATCCTGAAGTACCCGATATCATTATATAAATATAAATGATAGTTGGCAAATACCAATAAAAGTCCCGTCGAATCATTTAGATCATATAAAAGAAAAACATTTGGCTATGTTAGGAAAAGAACATTCCGCTCGAAAAGAGCACTGGACCTTATAGAATTTAGAATGTGGATGCTCATCTTCTAGGACATCAAGTCTTTGAAGTAGACCTTCTGCTACTGACTAATGTCACTATTTATACAGTAATTTATGTGCATCTACATATTCAAGTGCATTATATTCTCATTACCCAAAACAGAGGGACTCAGAATAACAAAAAAGATAATTAAAAAACTATTATTGAAACTGAGTAATTATTTTCTTGATTAGTCTTCCGTTATTTTGCGATTGGAATTTATGGATTTTAAGCACTTAATCCATAATAATATGTACTATGATTCATAATGAATGCAGCTATTTTTGTTTTGGGTAAGTCCTTTTTTATGGCAAGTAAAAAATTTGGGATCCCTTTAAGCTAAGACATAGGAACAACGATGACACATATCAACGAAACTGAGACCAAGTTCTGTAATTTCATTAATTAATATAATATGTCGACGCCTGAAAGGCAAACGTGACTAAGCGACATTAACTGCTTTGTACATAAATGATAGGCAATAACCATATTCGATGCGCAAAAAATATATATTTCTAGGTCTATTAAAATCATTTCAATCCTACAGCTAGATTCGTTAAAAAAATTTTTTTTCTAGTATTTCAACTTTAAATTAGTCTACTGTAAAGTTCACGTTAGCTTGTCGCTTAGTCACGTTTGCCTTTAAGCGTCGATGTATATCTAACAAACTTCTATGTGATCTAAATTATTTCAGTTGTCACCCTGTCTTTTAGCAAATCAACCGTCCTAGACTTCGGTAATGAATTCCCCGACATAAACGAGATCTTCATCATGACCGAAAATGAAAGACATATCTTCGATAACATACCTAACGTTTTCATTAGAAACACAACTGTGGACCTAGAGAAATTGAATGTGACAAATTTCTGGGAAAAACTATACCAATACCAAGATAAATTGAAGGAAAAATTACCGAACATTCTCGAAGAATTTGAGCTCCCGAATCCTAAACACTTTAACGAGACTAGACGACAAGTTTTAAAATGGGACTGGTACCACACTCCTGAGTTCAAAGAAGGGTCTATTATTATAACAAGATTGAAGACTTTGGACTTAATGCTACAACTGATATATATGGCTAGACACAAACTAAAACAAATGGAGGGGAGTAAGTACTTTCAAAGGACCGACACTGGATACCGAATTGCCTTCTTGTACAGGAAATTGAGAAAAATCTTCAGAAAAATGATGGATATTTACACGATTATGGTGAAGAATAAAGAGAAGTGGACACATCAGGATTGGCATTTGCAGCTGCATACGAAAGCTACTAAGCTACACGTCGACTTTTTATACCTGTGGTGGGTTTTGGTGAGAGTCGATGAGAAGTACAGTATCAGAATGGGATTCAGGCCCACTGTGCCGTCTTGGATGAAGCTCACTAAGCCGTAAATATAACGTTTTGAAAATAAATAAAAATGTTTGTATTTTTTAATTGTTACAACAATAAATTTTTTTTATTTGTAATCCAAAATATTTGCTTTTCGTACTATTCCATCAGCCCACAGAAGTCCACTACTGGATATAAGCCTCCCCCAAGCCTCGCCACAAAGATCGGTCCTAAACTGCTTGCATCCAGCGGATCCCTGCAAACCTCAATAGGTCGTCCGTCCATCTATGTCATCCACACTATGTCTTCCAGTACGCGGTCGCTACTCAAGAACTTTCTGGCCCCAACGGCCATCCGTTCTACAAGCAATGCAGCAGGGAAACTCCGAGCATAGCTCTCTCCATTGCTCTTTGGGTGACTTTGAGCCTTCTACATACATTAAAATTCTTATTATTGATTACTGAAGCCATAAATATCAATATAAATGCCACCCAGATGGAGGCATCATAATTTTTTACTGCCCTTTTAAGCAAACGAGCACGGTTCTCTGATAGTAAGAGGTTACCGTCGCTGCCTACCGCTAAGTGGTACTCACCAAGATTTCTAGAGGTCTACGTCACAATTTTGTTGTTCAACACCCAATATGGTGGTCCTAATCTACAACGTGAAGTCTTCGTAGCAGAAATAAGCGAGGCGATATTTATCCGCCCGAATAATACGCCATGTCATCAGTAGATTGTAAATAGAATAATAATAAAATGTAATTAACACAATTAAACGAACTTTTAAGGTTTGCGCATGATATTCAAACATCGATGAACACCCGCAAAACCCACGAAATTTTAATTTGCGTAATCAACCGTGGTAGGGCGTTTTGTGAGTCCGTACGGGTAGGTAGCCTGCCATCACCCTGCCTATTTCTGCCGTGAAGCACTAATACATTTCGGTTTGAACGATGAGGCAGCCGTTGTACTGTAAAAACTGAGACCTTAGAAATTATGTCTCGAATTGGGTGGCAGCATTTGTTGTAGATGTCCATGGGCTTCGGTAGCAACTTAACACCAGGTGAGCTCGTCCACATACTTAAATTCTTAAAATAAAAAATGTAATAAACCGTATTCATAACTGCAAAGTATCCGAAATAGCAACGAAATATAAATTCGAATAAAATTAATCAGTTTTAATTGTTTTCGTATTTCAATTAGATTCTATTTGAGTGGAAATGTAACTAAAAACTATAAAACCACTTTGATCTACCTACACGATTTCGCGATAAATTTTTCGTTAAGCTTTCTATATAATGCTTGTGTTCGTACTCTTTACATTATGTAAGTCTTATATACTTAGTATGGCCATAAATACTGTTACAATTAAAAATAAACAAAATATTACATTTGAATTTGGAATCTGTCATTTTTATATGATTGCTCATTGAGTTTTCTCATTTTGGCGCCAATACATTGTACAATATTTTGCGGTATTAAAATGGAGTGGGGTGATAAAGAGAACCGAATCGCTGTGATTGCATTACACAAAATAGGTATGGAGCCAAATGCAATTTTTAAAACTCTTCATACGCTTGGTATTAGTAAAATGTTTGTGTACCGGGATATTAATAGGTGCAATGAGACCTCCTCTGTTTGTGACAGAAAAAGATCTGGCCGTCCACGTAGTGTTCATACAAAAAAGGTGGTCAAAGCAGTAAGGGAAAGAATTAGAAGAAATCCTGTCCGAAAGCAAAAGATTTTATCTCGGGAGATGAAGATAGCACCTAGAACCATGTCGCGTATTTTACAAGATGACTTAGGACTTACAGCCTATAAGAGACGTACTGGTCATTTCTTAACTGATAATTTAAAAGAGAATAGGGTGGTAAAATCGAAACAACTACTGAAGCGGTACGCAAAGGGAGGTCATAGAAATTTTTTGTTTACGGATGAGAAATTTTTTACAATTGAGCTACATTTTAACAAACAAAATGACCTTATTTATGCTCAAAGCTCTAAGGAAGCTTCTCAAGTAGTCGAAAGAGTGCAACGTGGGCACTATCCGACTTCAGTGATGGTTTGGTGGGGTATTAGCTATGAAGGAGTGACTGAGCCATACTTTTGTGAAAAAGGTATCAAAACATCGGCACAAGTGTATCAAAATACCATTCTTGAGAAGGTAGTGAAGCCCCTTAACAACACCATGTTCAATAATCAAGAATGGTCCTTCCAGCAAGACTCGGCGCCAGGTCATAAAGCTCGGTCTACGCAGTCTTGGTTGGAAACGAACGTTTCGGACTTCATCGGAGCTGAAGACTGGCCGTCGTCTAGTCCCGATCTTAATCTGCTGGATTATGATTTATGGTCAGTTTTAGAGAGTACGGCTTGCTCTAAACACCATGATAATTTGGAGTCCCTAAAACAATGGAATCCCATGGAGAGTGCGTGCTTCTATTGATAACTGGCCTCAACGTTTAAAGGACTGTGTTGCAGCCAATGGAGACCACTTCGAATAAGCTTTTTATACCTTAAATTGTTTTATATTTATGTATTAAACTAACACACTGTAAAAGTAATAAAGGTTATTTGCAATAGAATTTTTTTTTCCTTTGTCTCGGTATTTATGGCAAGACTGGGTATACATATATATTTATTTTTTATTTAATTTTACGAGTATGAGCCGACTATGAGCTGGGAAGTGATTATTAGCGGTTTAACCGTGACAATGGCTTGTTTGTGCTCTTAAGCGATGGTCACCACACACTAATGAACTGCTATTTTATTGATGGCTCCAAGAATATAGGTAGACATAAAATTAAAATCACCGCCGACTAAAGGTCCATTCCTCAATCGAATAGCATAACGGATGTGGCGATCCTTCAAGACTGAATGTTACGGCATTTAAGATCGTCTCAAGTGCCGGTACAAGCTTATAATAAGTCAATTATATATGAAGGAGTGACCGGTTCCATGGAGTTTATAAACTGTGAACCTAAGCGTCGCTGACGCCATTCTCTTCATCATTATTGCCTTCCATAGTGACAGTAATTAAAGCTCACTTTTTCAAATAATTCCTATTATTGAATTTCAAGTGTTTCAACATTAAATCATTTCGTATTTTAACGCAGGGAGTCAGAGCACACAATCGTTTGAACAGCATTCAAGAGAAGCATTTTCAACCGACGAAATCAACAAAGACGGTTTCTTCGATTTCACCGATCTAAATATGAACAGTTTTCGTGTCAAAAACGAAAATCAAAATTCAAAAAATAACAATAGCATGTTCGATTTGAATAGAGTACACGAATTAGTCGAAAAGGAAAAACGCAACTTTAAAATTGACTACCGCCGTCAATATCCGGCTACATGGGAGGTCGAGAAGGAGGCGTACCGATGGAATCCGTTTTTCGTAAGCAAAGCCTTCGAAATGATGAAGCAGTCGATTTACGCCACCAGATTCAGATTGGAGGCCACCAAACCGCTCAGGAAGACGTACTTAAACGATTTCAGTTACAACATCGGTACATGTTACGGTGTTTTAACGCAGCTGATATTCAAAATGGATAATATGTACGCCCAAATGCTGCATTTCGGTGAAAGAACGTTTTTTCTGTACTATCTGATTATATACGAAAAAATATTGGCGGCACACGTCGATGCTACATTTCTAGTTGAGAGGATGTTCGCATTCCACAAGCAATATAGGGACATCATGAAGCCCGAACAAGAGTCGTATCAGAATGATGGTATACCGCCAAATCCCAACCCTTAGTTTACCTGGCATGCTGAAATATATATCGACGCTTGAAAGGCAAACGTGACTAAGCGACAATGCGTGAACTTTACAGTAGACTAATTTAAAGTTGAAATACCTGAAAAAAATTCTATTTTAACGAATCTAGCTGTAGGATTGAAATGATTTTAATACACCTTTTTTTTTTCGGCTAGAGCGCCGAACCTCCTACCAGGTGAAGCAATAGTCACCAGTTTTATGTTTTTTTTTATATTTGAATATTCAAAAAATGTTTTAATAATATTTCTAATGTTCCTTCTTCTAACTTATTAACCTAACTATAACATATTAACCTTTTTTAAGATTTATTTCATAAATCTTAAAGAGGTTACATATATACGAGTGTACCTTATAAAAAACTTACCTTTTTATACTAATATATAAATCTACAGTGGTTTTTACGGATGTTCGGTTATAACTACTGAACCTTGCATCCGATTGACTTTTTATTTTTATTTTTTTCTATTGCTTAGATGGGTGGACGAGCTCACAGCCCACCTGGTGTTAAGTGGTTACTGGAGCCCATAGACATCTACAACGTAAATGCGCCACCCACCTTGAGATATAAGTTCTAAAGTCTCAGTATAGTTACAACGGCTGCCCCACCCGTCAAGCCGAAACGCATTACTGCTTCACGGTAGAAATAGGCGGGGTGGTGGTACCTACCCGTGCGGACTCATAAGAGGTCTTGAAAAATGGTATCCATGTAGAAAATACATGTACTTAATGGATAGGCTAATATTTATAAGAGTGTTCGACTCCCTACACCAGTTGCGGGAGCGTTAATGATGAGAAACTTTGTGGGGGTGAGAAATAATAATGTCAATTTTAAATGTCCAGCGAAGCGGACGGGTACAGCTAGTACCTTATAAAAAAGTTCCCGGGAAACGAATTCAAAAATGTTTATTTAAATTCGAATATGTCTGGATATTCTTATAGAAAATCAAAACAAACCCTCATTTCCCCTAACTGTTCTTTGGTAGCCTAAGGGGCTAATCCAGCTATGCTCTGGCTGGTAGAAAAAAAAAACAAAAAAAAATGGTAGAGGAGCTCCCAGGGCCCAACCTGACTAAACTCTACAACCGGTTCCAACAAGAGACAAGCTCCTAAAGTGAACAGGCGTGACAAACACAACGAGAATTTTCTTTTTAATGTATTTATTTATTTTTGGCAACGTTGCAGTAATAAAAAAGGCATTTAAACAAAATCACAATAAATTATAAACATAAAAATAAAACATTTTATTTTATAATACTTCTATTGAGCAAACGTTTCTTGACAGTTTTCTTTACAACTGCCGCATTCATATCACATCACTTTTTTTGGTGCTTAGATGGGTAGACGCGTTACTGACCCACCTGCTGTTAAGTGGTTAGCGGACACCATAGACATCAACAGCGTAAATGCCGCCACCCACCTTGAGATATAAGTTCTAAGGTCTCAAGTATAGTTACAACGGCTGCCCCACTCTTCAAACGGAAATGCATTATTGCTTCACGGCAGAAATAGGCAGGGTGGTGGTGGTTTTCATTATGCCACATGATTTTTACTGGTGGTAGGGGCTGTGAGCTAGTCCACCCAAAGAACACAAACAAGAATTCACCAAAACCAGCCCAGCCGTTTAGGGCGAGCTCACTAAAATTACGTCATCCCTTCTTGGGAATAGCCAGTCCGTAATTACAGGAGTCAGGATAGCATTAATTTGAAAAAGTAATCTAAATACGGCACGGATACAATAATTATTTATAACAAAAACGTCTTCAGCAATAGGCAGAGGCTTGACTGTGCTCTTGGCACCGCTAATATCCGTGCTTGACATAAATAACTTATCATCAAGTGTGCCGTAAACTCGTCTGCTGTCAATAGCAATCGCCATAAAATTTAATGAATGATTGGAGTAATCACACCTAATATGAACAGGATCGCATACCTATATAAAGAGACGACGGTAATTTAAATAGTCTTTATTTCTATAAACACATCTATAACAATAATATTATATTAAAAAAAAAAAACATAAATTAACAATAATAATGGAGGAATGTTATACATACTAGAACTAAATAAAGAAATAACATTAAATATTATTTGAACTATTTCTAATAAAATAGGTAATGGAAGTTTTCGTGAGCATAAAATAGGCAGCTTCAGACGCGATGGTAAGAGATGGGAGTCTTGTTTAGGTCAAAATATCAAGAAAGAATGGCCTTTCTTAGAGGTTAACTTTTCTTTCACACTGTACTTTAAGGGGATCTAACAAAGGACAGAATCCAGTCACATATGCACTATTTTTTAAATATAAGGATGGTTCATTATTGGTTTTACTGCTATGTATTAGATATGTGGAGTACAGTTGATACTTAGAACTTATTAAATCTTATTTATCCGGAAGAATCCAAAAGGTAGACGTTAAAGGATGATACTTAGTGAAAGGTTGATACTTAGAACTTATTAAATCTTATTTATCCGGAAGAATCCAAAAGGTAGACGTTAAAGGAAAGAGATCTTCCGGTGTCTTACTTAATATGGGTGTTCCTCAGGGTTCCATATTGGGTCCCTTCTTATTTCTTGTGTATATTAATGATTTACCAAAGTTTATTGAAACCCGTCACGAGGTCGTATTATTCGCTGATGATACATCCTTATTGTTTAAAATTAAACGACAATTGGAAGATTATGACGATGTGAATGATGCTATCTCGCGCGTGGTACATTGGTTTAGTGTTAATAATCTGTTATTAAATAACAAAAAAACAAAATGTATAAAATTTACCACACCTAATGTTANAGCCGCTGCCTACCGCTTAATACTCTCCATAAGCCTCGTTTGAAGAAGGACATGTCATAGCGCTCGGGAAACACCGTGGAGGGGAGCTCATTCCATAGCCGGATGGTACGTGGCAAAAAAGATCTCTGGAAGCGCACTGTGGATGACCGCAGTGGCTCCAGGTAGTATGGATGAACTCTACTCCGGTGGCGGGCGGTGCAGTGGTAAAAACGAGATGCCGGTATCATCTCGAATAATTCCTCAGAGCACTCCTACGTATATAGACTAAAACAATTATCTTATGCATAATAAAACAATATCACAAAAAAAACTAACAAATCGAGCAGATGAACAGACAGATTTACTGTTTCGTTTTATTTATTTCATTGTCAGCGTCAGATAAAAACAAACTTCATTAAAATAGATTTTAAAGAATCTACAAAGACGAATTGAGTGATTGATATTTGCATTAAAACAATATCTAAATAAATAACTTCGCAAGTAAATAGCAATAATTAAATGTATATAGAACAAAAACCCAATATCTTTTATACGCATTGATTTAAAAAGGAAACCGTAATATGTATTAAAAAATACATTACGTATATAATGGTAAGCAAGTACCGAATTATATGCGATAAAAGAAAAATAATTAAATACACACCTATATATTAATATTACATTAAAAAATTCTGTACGCACGCAATATTATTACGTAATTTTTCTGCTATTTGTACTTAGCGAGTCGCAGTGGTGTGTTTTGTCACGACTTATCCGCAAGTAAAGCCGCAACACAAACTTTATTAGTCCAAGAAGAGTCATTTGATTTGTGGCAAATATAGACAAACAGATGAAAACGCGTTTCTGTTAATACTTTGTATCATACTATTAGCGTATTAGTAATAATTAGTATAATCAAGACAAACACATCCTACACGTGTATTTTTGGGAAAAATAAGTATTAATGTAATTATTTTTTCACGAATACACTATACTAAGATAGCTGTTTGTTCTTATTGTAATTACCGATTTTTCATATAGATACTACAACGATCAATTTAGTGAGATTCTTCACTGAAATAAAATTGTAGCAACATAATATTTACTACTACCGTAAATAATGTTTACCGACATTGCACTACAACTAAATAATTTTGATTAAAAATACTTTTACGGTATTTATGTTTATTCAATTAATTTACGTATTAATTAGGATTATATTAAATAATTAGCGTAAAAGTTTTTTTAAACACGCCTAGACTTATCTCGAAACTGAAATAAAACTAAATAATACTAATTTTAAATAGTTACATATATAAAACACTAAATAAAAATAATTTCTAAATAATATTTAGCTTCGTTTCAGCCTACCCTAAATAACAAAACTTATCACATAGAATGGCTGCTTAAGTACTAAAAGGTACTGAATGAAAAAGCACTAACTTAATTAATGACGTTTTTTTTTTTTCAAAATAAATTCTTTCAGAACTTTTCTTGTTTTCAGACAGTGTTTGTCAATTGTCGGCTAATTACAATATCCATTACAATTTCCATACAATTTTTTTACGATTTCGTACTTTTTTTTTAATAATGCTGGCTGTAATTGATGTACAGGTGCCATTTCATAGAGTTTTTAATTGAATTCAATTTAAATTACTTTCTAAATATAAGCTATTTGTAAATCTCAAATTATCACTGAAATTTAAGCTTTGTCTAATAGAATATTATTATAGAATTTTCTCAAACATTATTACATTACCACTATAATCTACTTACTAAAATGATTACGAATTCTTAAATTTAACTTAACAATTGACAGACCAATAAAGACCTTATCTCAATCCGAATACAGATCATATTCAAAACTCGTACATTCTCACACGTTTTTGTACCTCAATTTTTATATTCCTTTTTAAATGACAGATATAAACTAATTTTATCGTTTAGAAAATACTGATCAAAAAATTAACACTGGAAGCGGTATTGATAATAATGAAAACATTACTACATATTACATCTAACTAAATCCTTAAGCTACATTAAAAAGTATTGAGGATATAATAATACGTAAGGAACACTATCGCAATGTATTAAAGTGTTCGCTGAAAGGGCGCCAATGAAGGTGGCGCCACTGTAGCAAGTGGAAAGATTGCTACACTTGCTACACTAGCGCCACTTCATTAAGTCTTCCAACAATAACTCGCTGTTTACAGATCCACACTTTTTCAACTTGTCCCCTATACAAGGTGTCCCTTACCTTTACAAGGTACCCCATATTAAAAAAGGAGTGTGTTTTTTTAAATCATAGACTAAGCACTAAAGATTTAAAACCACAGATTATCCTAAACGCATATGTACTTTTTTGTCACTGCGCTACTATTTGTATGATCTAAATTAAATTAGATCTGACCTTTGAGTGAAATCGAGATTCATAATTGATATATTCGTGTAATTAAGGTGTACGGACGATGCCCGTCGTTGACATACCGTTGCCATGTCAAGGTACTTGGCTGCAGACAGTCGGTATGTGGGGCCGCTCTCACTGCGCCTTCGGCTTGTGAGCTCCGTCGGTGGCGAAAACGAAAGAGAATTCTGAGCGTTTCTGAGCGAACGATATGAATTCATCTGTCGGGGATAGCTTAATATGATTATTATTATTTTTATTATTAGGTAGAGGGGAAGAGGTTGACAGAAGAAAACATGGATGTAGTGTATGAATAGTGACGATATGAGAGAGAGAAAGAGGAGTGAGTGTTGAGATGACGGCTGATAGAAAAGAATGGAAGAGAAAAATTAGCTGTTAAAATTAGCCGACCTCACCTAATGGTGGCGAAGAAAAATATTTATTTTTTTATTATGCAGAAGTGTATAGACAAGAGTCTATAGGTATCATAAAATGAACACAGCCGGTATGCAATACAATAGAGAATTCGACCTCAAGCCTCAAGGTGGACCGTGAGATACTACACTCATTTAAATAACAAGTTCGTGAAAATAAATTTCAACTAGTGTGCGAACACAAATATAACTCCAACTACCCTCTTTTTTGATGTGAAGCCGCACGTAAAACCGATTTCTGTATGATGGTATATATTATAATAATATAGTCTATATGCAGTAGTGTGTACGGTGTGGCGACGCGTCGCCATGCGTAATCGACTGTGCGATTCTCTCCCATTCGATCCGGCGTTAAGCCATCTCTCTCGCTACATTCAGCTCGGATACCTATAGTGTATACTCCGTAGTGTATACAGTGTTGTTTACTACAGTACACATAACCTCTGTTTTACTTGAAAACAAATTATTTTTTCGTAATATTTTATTTTATCATTATGACATATTTAGTTCCTATCACAATCTGTTATTTTATGCATATTACTTTTACAAAATAATGTCGATGCTTCACATCTGCCAGGCGTCCCGTGACGGCTCACATTTTTTTTACTGAATTTTAAACTTCGGTACTGAGCCTTCATACTACTTGTATTTGTAACGTTTGTATCCTACAACTAAATAAAGTACTGCTTACCGTAAGTCAAATATCCCTTCTCGTCCAGGTCGGCCTGGTGGAACGTGTTGCTGGCGTCTTGCTGACACAGTCCAAGACATTTTCCGGTCACCTCTTCAAAGCCGGCAGAGTTGAGCCTCCCGGTCCTACCGGTGTCGTACAACTGGAGACAACACAGATCGACTTTTGGATATAACATGTGATTTTCCTGGCAGCATTGTAAGCCTTCGTGTCTGTTTCTGGCGTCAAAAACGGGTTCCGGCTTGTTGGAACGGACAAAAGCGACAGCTCATCTCAGCTAATTAACATACTCCTCTATTTTTTACTGGATTAAAAAGTAAAATTTACCTTCCAAGCGTAATTGAGCACTTTAGATAGCGGCGCCTGCTGGAGGGAGAGGAAGACGGCGCACAGCAGATAGTCGGGAAAGTACACCAGGCCACTGGACCTCTGGAAGGAAATTGTTAAATTATTGACACGTAAACGAATGAATAATTTAAACGAATGTAGACGGACTTTTTTTTTATTTTCTCGCTATCGTAAATGTATGTTATAAATAAATTATAACATAACATAAAAATATATTAATAATGTAATATAATATTATAAATTACCTGGACAAATATTTCAAATAGCCTCTGCGTCTTTTGATCGTTAGGCACGCCGAGCCTCTGGCAGAACTCCTCAGCCGTGAGCCAACGAGCCCTGTCCTGCAATCCCTGGGCAGCTAGGTGCAGCTCTAGTTGGGACCTCTCTAGGCTGAAATTCAAAACTTACTATTTTCATTGGTTTTCTCGAGTCGTAGACATTTTTAAAATTTTATCTTTTAACCATTATTTTCATTTCATAATTTTCAAAGTTACGAATACTTTATCTGTCTAGTAAATCTTATACTTCATAACGAGATATAGCTGGTTGTTAAATCTAACACTAAAATCTACAGAGTGCTTCATTTTTTCTGAATGCACATTCCATAGATTTTCTTGTAATCACAATAAGACAAGAATCTAAATTTTGATGTTGAGAATAGTGTCTTCATTCTCTTACCCAAGAGCAGCTCTTAGCTCGCTGACCTCCCTGGCACACGGAGCTCCTGGTATACCCAGATTCTTGGCTCTAGCAATCAGCCGGCAGTCGTCGTAAGTATAATCTAATACTGGAACTCCTAGGGCTCTAGAAACAACAGGTTGGTATTCTTAATCACGAAATAGTAACTAATAGAACACGAAATAGATGACATACTACAACTGTTGTAGTATGTCATCTACATACGCATTTTTGTACACCTGTAGTTCTTTGTTGTTGTTATAATATCATGTTAAACAACCCGAAATAAATGAGATATTGACATTTTGTTGACTTTTTGAATTTTACATATGTAAACAAGTACTAATATTACAAAACCTTCATTTGAAGATAGCCGATAGTTGTATCAAAAATCGTACAGTTCATGGTTTTAAAGGTAGGTATTTCAAGATAGATGCAAACTTAATATCAAGATTGTTCTTAAGTAGCAATATTTGCAGTATACTTTTTAAACCAAGTTCAACGTATCCAATAGCTACATTTTATTAATCACTGGTTTCTCTCAATTAGATTAAATGGTCTACTATTTTATCATACAAACATATAATATTAAACTATTACGTTTTATACCTGTTTATAATTGCATGTATTAGTATTACATTACATTTAGCCGTCATCTTTCAAATAGCAAATTAGAGAGGAGCACTGTCAATAATACAGTCGAGAGTGCCGTATTTGTACTCACTTAGCCATAACATCTCGAACATTCCTCGCATACAGTTTCGGATCTCGCTTCTCCTCTTCACTCGGATAGTATACAGGCAAGAACTCAATCTCACACGAGCTGTGTACTTGTGTCAGAGTCAGCCAAAGCAGCTTTAACCTGTAAATTGAGTGGTTATTTATATAAAACAATGTATTTTATACGGCATATTATGTTTAATTTTTTCTTATTTTTTGGTTTTAATCATGTTATATTAAATATTGAAATTTATTAGAACGTGCCAAGGACGCTAGGAATACAATGGTTCCTCCATAACATTACTTGACATACTTTTAAAATTGTCGAAAATGGGTATTATTGACAATAATTAGAATGTTGAAGAAGTCATTGCTCATCCCCAATCGTTATCTAATAACTAACCTAAGGAACCTAAAGTCGATTGACTTTCTTTTGTCATCAACAACTATCAACGGACGGATAGAGACATATCATAAGAATCTTCTCTTGACGCTCAAAACCGCAACTTGATCTATTCATCGCGTGCAGCTTATCTTGGTCCTCTCTCACCCTCAATTTTACAGGCCAGCATGAGAAACTCGCTGTCGGCATTCCTAAGAGAACGATGTATAACAGACTGATTTGGAGCATTTACTAATAGTACTATGAGTCCGTGGTATTAAGAGTTGACCATTGAGCCTGTATGTTTCTGCTGCAAATCAATCAAGCGTTCGATTTTGAAAAGTAGTAGAACCGTCATTTTAATACAACTAGGACTTTAAGATGGTAACGAAACTACAGTATGATGAAACTAATGATGTCGTAAGTTTTTGTCTGAAATAAAAAAAAACTTACGCCCCGGGTCCTTCCCACGTCCAGGTAACCGTGTCCCTGGCATTCGGGTATCTGATGGTAACGGGCTGCACTGGAACTCCTGGGTAGAAGCCTCCAGGCTTGAACGTGATGAGACAGGAGCGATTCGTGCATGTGCCTTCAGGAAATATTAGGACCTGAAAATTTGGATTAAACTACATTTGCGGGGTTTCGCGTAATTAGTTATCAAGATTATCGGAATTTTGTTCAAGAGCCCACGATCAACTTACTTTAAGCCGACTTGTGAGGCTTCTAGAAATATTTCTTACATTTAACAAAGGGAATGAGAGTAGTATGGTTGTGCGGTTTGCATTGCTGTATTTTATATGAAGCTTTAGGTCTTCTACAAACAAAATATAAAATGAAAGTCTTTACATATATAATGCCTTCCTGGTCTAATGGGTAAGACACCAACTATTTTAGTTAACCTTATTTGAAATGTAATTCTTCTTAGCAAATATGTCCTTAGGACGTGTTCAGAGTACTTCCACGATGAAAATTAAACCGTTAAATTTATAAAATTCTAGATTTGCAGATAGATCCTATGTCCCGTGTAGTGTTCCACCATGAAGGAATACAATTAATTCTTCGACCTCAAACAACTGCATTTACGTCCTAGTATCCAATAGTATCCATGAATATTCGTAATAACAGTATAGCAAGAAGATTTGAACCTTCTACTTATTTATGCAAAAGTTATTTCAAATCTACTCTCTTTAAGATACCTGCGGCCAATCTTCCTTCGAAGTAGCTCGCTCGATAATTTCTTTAATCGTGTTCTGCCTCGAGTTTGGATCGTCGCGCCAAACATATACGGGCTGTGTGTAGTTTATCAATTCTGTAAACATAAACGCTTTTTGTAAACTAAATAATAAAAATATGTACAATTCAATCGATAATTTCAATCGTTAATCTACAATTTATTAGTTTGCGTTGGCAATCTAGCAACCATTCCGTGTTATTAGCACTATAGATCGCAAACAAGCTGTCAACTATGAGCACCAAAGCATATAAAAGTTTATAAAGGTAACATGGTATTGAAACAAAAACAGTAATTCTTGACAAAACACATTTTTTTCCGCTACTGAATCGGTGGTAGCTTAATTGGCTATTTCAGCTACGCGCGGATACCCATCCGGGTGAGCTCACGGGCTCAACCCGAGAGAGTTTACTAACACTGGCTCTAGCAAGAGCAGTGCTCCGCTGAATCTACCACTGGATCAGAATCGCGACCCACTGAGAAGATCCGACGAGAAACTCAATAGGTTGTATCCATGGGCGAAGTTGCACTTCGATACACATCAATAAAACAGTATAATATTTTAGTTTTAGTTAGAGTTTTATAACGCTGCACTAAATTTTAAATACTCGTAGCGTTCTATGCTAGACAAATCACCATCAATTGTACTAAATCTCTCCATCGCCGGCTCTAACCCTGTTGTTCATTTTCTTCTTATAATCTAATAATAATCTTTCTTGTTTGCGCTTTTCAAATAGTACGTTGTAGTAGTAGTAATAAGTTGTCGTGGCCTAAAAGATAAGACGTCCGGTGCATTCGTGTTGAGCGATGCACCGGTGTTCGAATCCCAGGAAGGTAATTTTTCTAATGAAATACGTACTCCACAAATGTTCACGATTGACTTCCACGGTGAAGGAATAACATCGTGTAATAAAAGTCAAACCCGCAAAATTATAATTTGCGTAAGTACTGGTAGTAGGACCGCGGTGAGTGCGCGCGGGTGGGTACCACCACCCTGCCTATTTCTGCCGTGAAGCAGTAATGCGTTTCGATTTGAAGTAACTATACTTGAGACCTTAGAACTTATATCTCAAGATGGGTGGCGCATTTACGTTTTTGATGTCTACGGGCTCCAGTAATCACTTAACACCAGGTTGGCTGTGAGCTCGTCCACACATCTAAGCAATAAGAAAAAACGTAATACGTTCTAAATTTGTCTTCAAGTAATTATAACCAGAAATCAGCGAGCGTGTTTTTTTAATGTTATTGTTTAAATTTTACTAAATGCTAATTATGCTATGCGTATAATCGCAGATTATAAGATTGTGTAATAAAATGGAAATGACCGTAACGATCGCCTGAACTGTCCGTGCCCTAATACAGATTGTGTATACGTTTCAATTTTATAATCCACAAGGGCTACAGGGTAAGATATCGTAATCGCGGTGGTGTCATTATCCCGTTATTTAATTCAGGGGCGGTTTCAGGCCGATCGTATAACTTAAAGCCGAGCCGTTATGAACAATAGAAGGATAGTATATACTCTCAATCGATGACCCTAATGATTCCTGTATGACCTCCAATTTTTTCGTATATTTTTTAATATATTAAAATTTATACATATATTACAGACAGTTCACCGTTTGAAATCGGCGTGGCCTAAAGGATTAAAATATACCTGGTGCATTCGTATCGAGCGATGCGACGGTGCCGGTGTTCGAATCCCATAGGCAGGTGGGTTTATAATGAAATAAGTACTAGACAAATGTTCACAAATGACATCCACGATGAAGAAATAACATCGTGTAATAAAAATTAAACGGCAGATTTTTTTTTTGTTGCTGTGGTGGTTGTACGGGTGTATAATCTATGGTTGTACGCTCTCACAGCCCACCTAATGTTAAGTGGTTACTGGATTACTGGTGGCCTGGAGGCCTTTCCAGTTTCACCAGGACAGCTGGACGAGGAAAGACTCAGCCAAGAAGGGTGAGATTAGCTAACAGCTGCCCGAGCGCCTTCGAAGGGGACCTAACAACTCAAGAGCAGCTGCTTCGCAAATGAATCTACTACCGAATCGGAGTCGCGATCCGTTGTGAAGATCCGGCGAGAAACTCAGCGGGTTGATGCATGGCTTGTGTAAACTTCAGTCTGAAGACATTAAGGATTTATTTGTTAATGTTAGCACCGTCAACTATACTTCCGTCTGAAGTCTTGACATAAAACAAAGGATTAATTTGTTAATGTTTGTATATTTAGGTAAATTATTATAGCTAGATTGGAGACGAGCTGTACTGGCCGAACATCGCAAAAAAAAAGCCACCCACGTTTCAAATATGTAGATCTTAAGCCGTTAAACAATCAGAGCGTGCCAAGAAATTTAACTGGTTAATGGTGAAAGTGCGTGCAGCACTACATCGGCAAATGACCGATAGTTAAGAACGACCTTTTACGCAATCCAATTTACTACAAAACGTAAGCCTAGATTTTGATGGATCTCCAATTTGAATTGTGTTGCTAAAGGAAACAATGACAGTTTTTGAAGCAAGCTAACCAACCAGATTGTCCTAAAATTATCAAAAGGCTTAAAAATGGCGCGATTTTTTTCATTTACAGATGTTTTTGTTTGATTTCATGGTATTTCTTAAACTTGACTGGAGCCAACTTTTTTTCCTTTTTTTTTTGCTTAGGTGGGTGGACGAGCTCACGGCCCGTTTCAATGGTAAGCGGAGCCCATAGACGTCTACAACCTAAATATCGCCAACTACCTTGAGATATGAGTTCTAAGGTCTCAGTTTTTACAGTACAACGGCTGTTCCACCCTTCAAACCGAAACTCATTACTGCTTCACGGCAGAAATAGACGGGGTGGTGGTACCTAACTACCGTGCGGACTCCTAAAATGTACTACCGGTAAACTTGACCAGACTGATATCAGATCTCGAGGCAGAATTCACGTTTGTTGTCTACAGAATTACTTTATTAATAACTTGTGCATCGGTTAGCCTGATCTTCGCAAGCTACGTGTACTCTGCGATCATAGGGCTTCTAATACTGTAGTGTTGATCCAAGGTTAGACTATGTTAAATATAACATCATCTTTATTTTTAAAGGGATTAGGTCTAATTTCCCATGTATGATTCCGCTCCAATTAATTAATTTTTTACTTACTTGAGACACGTGAAAATGGTTGTAGGCAGTCAATGAATGAAAATGAAGTGTGATATGTAGGCAGCGGCTTGGTTCTGCCCCTAACATTGCTGAAGTCCATGGGCGACGGTAATCACTCACCATCAGGTGGGCCGTATGCTCGTCTGCCTACAAGGGCAATAAAAAAATTAAAAAAAATGTGAGATGCTTTATGCCCTTAGATGCATCTATTGGTAAGACGAATAAAACCAAAAGGAAATCATTTCGCATAATATTACCTACAAGTACTCAATAACAAAATCGGACGGTAGGCCCAACAATCAATATTCTGTAGTAGATCATTTGCTTCTGATCGTTTCTAAAACAACACACTCGTCAATCCTGTAATTACCCTTGAATCCCATCTTCACTTTTTCCGGTGGACAGGCAAAGCGGACCACCGACAAACTAGTATCGACACTTCCTCGACCTCCATGAGCTTTGGCATGTTACCTTTAATTCCTTGAAATAACGATATCAGTCAGATCATATTTATTTTTATTTATTTATTTATTTTATTATTATTGTCATTTAACACCAATTGTCAATCTTAAAACATAAAATCAGATTCTCAAGTTCATACAAGAAAGCAGATTTTTATTTTCGTCATCACATCCTATATGCTTTAGAGCAGAGCGCATCCATACACCCTAAGATACGCCAAAAGCTTTTTATTTTAACTACACACACGGTTCTGAGTTTCGAAAGACCTCATCAGGCTCATCATTCAATGACACAGTGTTACGACATGCCAGTACACTTTCGGATTTCATGCATCTTTCAACAGCTGCGTGACATCCATTGATATTCTAACACGAGCACGCACAATGGTACAAAGAAAAGATATCGAACCCACACGTGCACGTAATTCGCACTAGAGTTGTGAGTTATACCGCATCTTCACCGTTTTCATATTGCTTACTCTATTTGAGTTAACTAAGCTTTGACCACAAAAAAAAGTTTAAACTCTATTGGTCCCGATTTCGAATGTTTTCCTAAGCTGGAGTTGACGCTTATGTTGAATTCATTAGGACGGGCTATAAAATGTTATGGACTCGTATTTGTGTTTGAATAGGCAACTACTAATATTTTAGCCGAACACGAAAACAAAGAAATCTTATGATTTTAGCGTTCTATATTTAAATGGATGTAATTTTTTATTAGCTTGCGCTGGCGTAAAGCCAGCCGGAATTTACGGTCAATTTATCAGCCGTGCATTTTAACATACGTCACGTTCCGTCAAAATGTTAGGATTCGAAAAAGTGAGCCTGGATGATAGTCCATAGCGTCCACACGTTCACAGCGACACTTGCCACTTTGAGAAGGCTGAACGACATGAGCTGGACGAGCAAAGATGAGAACCGTCTTGTCGTGTCCGCTGGAAACTACATACCCGATCCTGTAGACCAAATGGTAAACCGTCGACGTCGCCTAAAGCACGTCATTACGGATCCTCCTGATCCATTAACGGTGCTTTTAGGCACCACAAGCACCGGTCACCGTCCTCGTCGATCCCGTCGCTTGCGACGAAGGGCTCGACGAGCGAATTAACCCATAGACACAGCCCACTGAGTTTCTCGCCGGTTCTTCTCAGTGGGTCGCGTGTCCGATCCCGTGGTAGATTCTGCGAAACACTGCTCTTGCTAGGGTCAGTGTTAGCAACACTCCAGTTTGAACCCGTGAGCTCACCTACACACGTACGAAGCTGAAATAGCCTCTCAAGGCTATCAGCATAGGTAGGGAAAAAAGAGTGATATTTCAGCAGCTATGATCGTTAAACTTGTACTGCCACAATTTCCCCGAAGCATTGTATCAATTCGACTGCGATTTTCTAAAAGCTTCTATAGCCCCAGTGCGAACAAGGCTCCTTTGACATATTGGACTTCGATTTCACAGATTAGTGTCACAAAATCC